ACGCCCTGGTTCAGATGGCTTCTCCGCCACTTACTACAAGAAGTTTGCTAACCTTCTCTCCCCAGTCTTAACTAATGTATTCAATGCCGTCCTGTCCAGTCAGTCTTTCAGCCCTGATACAGTGTCGGCTAATCTTACTATGATCCTGAAGCCCAATTCAGATGATTCTGCATGGTCCAATTACAGAGCCATTTCCCTCCTCAATATTGATATTAAACTCCTCTTGAAAATCCTCTCCACCCATCTTAACCTGTTTATAGGCTCTCTTGTTCACAATGACCAGGAAGGCTTTATACCCACTCGCCAGGCGGGCGACAATGTTAGATGTGCGATCATCCTTTCCAATGTAGCCCATTCTTGCAACATCCCCACTTGCTTCTTGTCCTTAGGTATTCAGAAAGTTTTTGACACGGTTTCGTGGAACTATCTTGACCAGATCCTGCATCGCTGGGGCTTTGGATCTCATTTTTTGGCATGGATTTCCTCTTTATATTGCGCACCATCGGCTAGAGTCAGATACCTGGGGCATAAATCAGCATCGTTTCCAATCCAACGCGGCACCCGTCAAGGTTGCCCGCTTTCCCCCCTTGCTTTTCACAATGGCCATAGAGCCTTTGGCCCTCCTGATAAGATCCAAATCGGATATACGAGAGCTTGAACTAGGAGGATCCCACCACAAGCTTTGCCTCTTTGCGGACAAAGTGCTCCTCTTTCTCACCTCTCCATTGACCTCCACTCCAACTGTTCTTCGGCTCCTCCAGGATTTTGGCAATATCTCTGGCCTTCACATTAACCCCCAGAAGTCAGCTGCGCTCAATATCTCTCTACCTCCCATGTACTTGGTGCATCTGTAACAGGTTTTACCTTTTTCATGGTCCCAGCACTGCGTTCCCTTTTTAGGCATTAAACTAACTCCTAGCCCATTGGACCTTTATACAGCAAACTATTTACCAATGTTGGCCCAACTTACTGGCCTCATGACCAAATGGTCTTCCTTACCATTGGCCTGGATGGACAGGATCACTGTTGTGAAAATGTCAATTCTTCCCAAAATATTGTATTTGTTTAGAGTGCTACCTATTCCCGTACCTGCACACTTTCTCCGTATCCTACAACGATAAGGGTACACATATATCTGGGGCTCCACCTGTTCTCGTGTACTTCGCACTACCATACACAAATCTAAGCTCATGGGTATCCTAGGCCTCCCGGATTTTGCTAAGTATTATCAAGTGGCGCATCTCGCACAATTGCCCAAAGATCACATGACTCATGAAATCCCCCAATGGATCATTCTCTAATGGACTGATTTCAACCCCCTCTCAGCTGCCAATCTCCTATGGCTTCGCCCATCGGATCGCCGTCTGCTCCGTAACCCAATACATCTCATTTTATCTCACTTTGGGACAGACTAAAATCCTGTTATTCCCTTCACTTGCCGCATAACCCCCTACTTTCATATCTACAAAACACGGCCTTCCCCCGACTTGGTCTTCACCACGATCCTTCAAACACTGATCCTCGCCGAATCTGCTTTGTACTCACCATTTTATAACCAGGAGAAGCTTTAAACCCTTCCCTTCTCTCCATGAGTCGCACTCTATACTGGCGTCGGAAATATTTAGGTATCTTCAGTTACTGCATTTCTATGCACCGCTGTCTGTCCATTCCCGCTCAGCTCGTTCAATGTCTTTCTTTGAACGATCCTGTGATAGAGACCCACATAGACAGGGTCTTATTCCTTATATCTATAATCTTCTCTCTACTTCTGAGACCTCGTCCAACCCTACTTATGTCGTTAGGTGGGAGAAAGACCTGGGACTCCAGCTGAGCCCTACAGACTGGGACCAAATTTTGGACTGCTACCAAATCCTCCTCACAGAACGTGTTGGCTTCATAGACTAACTACAAGGTTTAGACTAGATGGTATCTGGTCCCACCGAGGATTGCTAAATATACCCCTAATTACTGTCCTGAATTTTTTCGGGGTTGTTCGGGGTTGATAGGGAGTTACTTCCATGTTTGGTGGTCCTGCCCGGTTGCCAAAACTTTTTGGGTCGAAGTTTTCCATATGTTATCCCAGCTCTTTGTAAAATCAATACCGCCAGACCCAACTATTGCACTCTTAAACTTGCGCCCCCCGTCTCCATCTCCAAATCCCAATTTAAACTGCTCTTGCAAATCACTACCGCAGCTAAACAGATTTTAGCCAAATTGTGGAAGTCACCATCTCTATGCACGCTAGCAATTTGAAACAGTTACACAAGAGATGATTCACGCCAAAGATGAGGCTACTATTTTAGATTCGGTCCCTAAGTTTCTTTTGATCTGGACCCCATGGGTGGAACGTTTCCTTCCACCAAACTTTGAGGACTCATTGTGCCTTCCCTGATGTCCTCTTATCCTGCATCTTGATAGTCCTAAGAGCCGTGTTTTGCGTTGTCCTGGTTCTGAGATTCTCTATTCTCTCCTTGAAGTCACACGCCCTCTCTCTCTCTCCCCCTCACTCTTACTTTTAGTCTCTTCTAATTCTCCCCCCTCTTTATTTTTTCCTTTTTTCCTTCTTTTTCCTTTTTATTCTTCCAGTCCACCTTTGCCCCCCTCCTCATGTTGCATACGGAACCTCCAACTGGTCATTGGGAACAGTGCTCCATCTCTGTTGTACATTTAGATTCTATCTTCCCATGTACCACAGTGTCCCTTCATATTTTTATATGGTTCCTCGTAACAAGATTTTCATGCAATAATTCTTCTGCCCTGTAGGGCAACATGTTTTTCTGTATTCATTTAAGCCTGTATATGTTCATGGACTGTCCTGCTTCTGTTTTTTGTTATGTTTTTGAAAACAATAAAAAGTTTGAACAAGAATTCCTGCCAACATTTCCCAACACTCAAATTATTAATATACAAATGTGTTATGTATTACCAATAGAGAATGGGATGAATGCATCATTCTTCTTAAAACGGCCTTCTGCATCCAGAAAATGCTCCGGGTAAAATTCATAGGGTTTTTCAAAGTAGCCTTTGTCTCTTAGAGAAGAGGAAAGCACTGGGATGATTGTGGTTCCCTGCAGGAAGAATAGTTACCAACAGGTTAGTATATAACAGATAAAGAATGTGTTGGCCTACTTGCACATAAATAGACATGACTCTTTGACTTAACCCCTTCCTGCCCAGTGCCATTAGTACAGTGTCAGTGCTTTTTATTAGCAATAATCACTGTATTAGTGTCACTGGGGATGTTAGTGGCGGTTAGTCAGGTCCCCCACAGTGTCAGAATTCCCACCGCAGTCCCACAGTCCCGCTATAAGTCTCTGATTGCAGCCATTACTAATATTTATATATATATATATATATATATATCAAGTATATATACTGCCATTTGTAGACTCTATAACTTTCACGTAAACCAATTAATTTCCATGTATTGGGATTTTTTATAGCAAAGATATGTAGCAGAATAAATTTCAATTATGCTTTGGCAATAAAAGCTGAAAGCTGATTGGTTTCTATGCAGAGCTTCACAAGATTTTGCACTCTCCATAGTTACACATAGTTATATAGTTAGTCTGGCTGAAAAAAAACAAAAGTCCATCCAGTTCAACCATTAAAAAAAAAAAATAAAGTTATAATCCTATATCCACAATTGATCCAGAGGAATGCAAAAAAACCCAGCAAAGCATGATACAATTTGCTCCTGCAGGGGAAAGAAATTTCCTTCTTTCCTATTTTTATATTTATATGAGTGAAGCCCATATGACAGGGATTCAGCAGTGTCCTTGAAAGAAACATACAGCTTTAATTTGGCAAATGGTTTTAATAAACACACCTGCTCATGTTTTTTTTTATTAAACGTTAACAAATGAACAAAAGTGTTTAAGAAATGTGTTTTTAACCACTCCAATAACGGACACTTTTACCCCCTTCCTGCCCAGGCCATATTTTAGGTTTCAGCGCTCTCATAGTTTGAATGACAATTGCGGGGTCATGAAACACTGTACTCAAACTAAAATTTTATCATTTTGTCTACACAACTAGAGCTTTCTTTTGGTGGTATTTAATCACCTCTGGGGTTTTTATTTTTTGCTAAATTAACATAAAAAGTCCAAAAATTTTGAAAAAAAATAAACATGTTTCTTTGTTTCTGTTATAAAAGTTTGCAAATAAATGTTCTTCATAAATTTAGGCCAGTATTTATTATTCAGTCTGTAGAAAAGTTATAGAGTTCACAAACTATGGGCTATATCTGAAAATTGATCAATCCTGAAGTACTGACAGCCAATCTAATTTCTTGAGGCCCATAAATGTCAGAACAGTACAGATATCCCCCAAATGACCTCTTTTTGCAAAGTAGACAGTTCAACGTATTTCATAAAATGCATGGCAAGTTTTTTTGAAGTTATGCTTTTTTTGTCATAATGTTTCGGAAAATTAAGAAATTAAAAAAATTATTTTCACAATTTTTTTAACATACTGTCACCAGTGCAGTACAGCATCAGCATATAACTGGTGTGGTGGTTATCAGGGACATTGATTGGTGACAGTATGGAAAAAAAAAAGATAATTTTTTTTTAATTTTTGAAAAACATTTAAATTATTTTATTTTATTTTATTTTTTTTTTAAGATTTTTTTCAAATTAAACTATGACCAAAGTAGTATAATGTTACCATAGTAACATTGTACTACTTTGGGGAAGTGATCATTATTTTTTTTTTTACACAATTTGATTGCTTACAGCAAAGAATTTATTTGCTATAAGCAAGCATTTAAATTGATTCATTCAGGTTGTTTTTGTTGTGATTAGCTGTAATTAGCCACAGCTAAATAACATGACACAGATGGGCTGTGATTGGCCCAGCCTGTGCATATGATCACTGTGACCATTCACAGCTAGACACACTTGTATACAATGTATGTCATGAAAGGAAGCCATCCATTGTCTACAATTGTCATGTGACCTGCTGAGATTGGTCATAGTAGGTCACATGGTACTGGCAACGGGGCCGGTACACAGATCTGTCATCGGACGTGTCCAAGGTAAATGGCCGGTGACAGATCTCACCAAAGCGCGATCCGGGAAGGACGTCATATGACGCCTTCCCGGAGGAACGAAGTGTTTGCCTGGCCATCATTGTACTATAGGCTGGGCGGCAAGTGGTTAAAGGATAGGTTCACCTTTTGGACAAAAATAACAAATGCACATTTTTCTGCAGGTAAAAAAATGTGCATTTGTTATTTTTGCCCGAGGGAGCCTGGCAAGTATTGCACCAGTGATCAGTATATCGCAGATGCCATGCAGGTCTCCTGCAGACCTGTCAGAATATCTGCTTGTTGTACGGGATGTACGGTCAAGCAGATAGAAGCTTCAATGAACTACCACAGCACCGTGGTAGTTCATTGAAAACTACAAGTTGATAGCCACTAAGTCTGTCGGGACCGCGCTGTTGCTCTTTTCAGATCTGACAGATAGTATGGGGAGAAGTCTATCCCAGTACTATCTGTCAGAGGGAGGCAGGCGGAGGGTGTGGCTGCAGCTATGGGAACATGTTACATGTTCCACCCTAAAAACAGGTGGAACATGTAACATGTTCCCAAAGGTGAACTTATCCTTTAAGCTTCAGAAGTTTGTTTAATGAATTATTGAGTAAGACGCATTGTTAATTCATGTATGCTGTATTTATTCATTAAAACCCTCATAAAGAAAGAAAAAAACACAAACTTTCTTAAACACTTCATCGCTAAAACATGTATTCTCCCTTATTGAAATTATTACATTTCTTACAATTCATTATGGGCGTGTTTATTTCAGCAATAATGCTGTCATTACATAATTTAACAAAATAATACATACATTTTTAGGACAAATAAGGCTTACGTTTGGCAATATTGTCTTGCAAAAAAAATGTAAAAGAAAAAGCAAAAGTGTGACTGTAGAAAAAAAGTGTGTGTATGTGTATATATATATATATATATATATATATATACTTTGCAAAGTTATGTACAAATGTAAAGAGCACCTTAATCTTATACAACACTTAAGAACAAATCAATGAACAAAATAAAGAAAAAAAAAAAGAAAAAAAAAGAAAAAGTAATTACTATATATTATGGTTAAAGAAATAGAAATAAGTACATGTTATATTAAAAAAATAACAACAAAATAACTTTTACCTGTCAGGTTGCTTTAAAGTGTAAGTTGTTAAGTTGATAGTCACCTATGTAAATATTATCTATATGTACTAGTTCATGTAATGCTACCCTCTCTCCAGTGACTGATAATGCTGCTGTCCAAGGTTTGCTATGTTACTCCTCCATGGATACAATGGAGGAGTGAATGTAGCCACCCTAAAGACAGGAAGTGTGTTACCCATCACCAGATGAAAAGAAGGGAATTAAAAAAAAAAAAAAAAACTATTTCATCCACCACATCCAATGATTGTTAATCTACGATATAATACTTGTTTGTTTTTAGGTTTAGTTACACTTTAACTGGCATCATATGCAGGTTGAAGCTCATTCCTTTGATCTGCAAATTAATGGAAATGAGTAGATACATACGGTAGGTAACATTGCTAAATCCATCTGAAGGTTCTTTTCTTTTTACAGCAGCTGCTGATATAACTGCTGTATTTAAAAAGCACTTTGTGGCTGTTATTTTTACAGCTAGGAATTGCCTTCAAATATGTCCAATGCCCACAACTGGGCACAGTGGGTCATCAGAGCACTATGGCAGACTTCCCTTTTAGCTTGGCCTCTTTGACCCAGACCCACGCTCCCCATGGCACCACCTCTGATGTTGTTTTCTATGTTACTTCTTCCAGAACAGCATCTTCTTTCTTTGGGCACTGATAGACCACTGATGATGAAACTCCTGCACATATGTGCTGGACCTGTATCATCTCTGCTCCAATTTTTTTAACTTTTTTTTTCCTGCAAGAGACATATAAAGTTTCTTCTACCAAAAACCTCTACCTGCTAGCAATATTTTTTAAATTATTTTGATAGTTTAGGTCTGTACAGGGGTGGACTGACCATTTGGAAACTCGGGCACTGCCTAAGGGCCCGGGGTCAGTAGGGGGCCCCATGAGATGCCCCTGGTACCTTTTTCATAGGCTTTTTTGAGTTTGGGCAAGGACACAGGGGCCCTGTGATCCCCTATTGCCCGGAGGCCCCATGAGTTGTCAGTCCGCCCCTGGGTCTGTATTAGCATAGTCACTCACCTTTGGAATGAAATATCCTCTGAATGTAACATCTTCTGATGTTGCATGTGGAACACTTCCAGGTGCAATATCACCAAACCGCAGGATCTCATGAACGACGGCATCAGTGTACGGCATTTGCTTCCGGTGCTCTAATTGAGGCTGAGCTGTGCTGATGACTCTTTCAATTTCATCTTGTACTTTCTCTGTTCAGAAGCAGATACCAATCTAATCATTAGTTATCCAACATATTGTAAATGATCTAGATATATGTGGCAGTCTCCTTATATCTCCTAGGAAAGGTCTACTTCAGTTGGAACTGTAAGCTTGAAGAATATCGCTAACAAATGCTGTACTCTCTATTGCTAACACATAGTAGCACAATTCTCAGAGCCCAGTAGGTGATAACTATGGGTAGCTATGGCCTTTGTGTTATTGTATTTGATCAGTCTGTAGTCATAGGTCATATTACTGCATGTCTTACTTTCAGTGGTGTATTTAGGTTTCGTGCTGTCCTAGGTAACACAAAAATCTGCCATCTCCCCCCCATGGAAAGACCCTAACACTGATCAACACCAAACTCCCCCACAAAGAAAGCCTGGTATTGACCAACACACCCCAGCCCCCCCACCCCCCACCCGAGAGAGCCTTCCACTACCACCGCCCCCATACATTGACATCTCCACCCGGAGAGAGAGAAGATACTCACCTTCACAGCTCCAGACCTCCCTGGGAACAAGAGTCAGGCTCTGCATACACCATCAAGCAGCCCACAGCCTCTCTCAGATCCCACCTGGTCCCCATGCTGTGTGTGTCCCTTTTTTCAAGGGGGCGCTGCCCCCCTGAAAAATTCTGCTGCCCCCCTGACAAAAGCCACACTAGGCAAATGCCTTGTGGTAAATACACCCCTGCTTACTTTGTATATTAGAATATTTCATCATTAGCAGGAGGGCCCATCTCAGAGCAGTGGATGTTGTTTCCATTCCAGCAGAAAACAAGTTGCCCACCAGGGCTGTCAAATTTTCATCATGGTAATATAGGGTGGATTCCGGCTAGTACATGTAGACAGTGGTGTATTTAGGTTTTGTGCTGCCCTAGGCAAGACAAAGATCGTCTGCCCCCACGGACACAAACTAACACCACCACCCTTCCCCCTCCCCATGGAGAGAGCCTGACATTGACCAACAACACGCCTGCCCCCTACCTGGGAGAGCCTTCCACTAACCCCCTCTCTGGTGATAGAGAGAAAGACACTCATCTTCACATCTCCAGACATCCCTGGGAATGAGAGTCAGGCTCTGCATACACCATCAAGCAGCCCGAAGCCTCTCTCAGATCCCACCTGGGCCCCATGCTGTGTGTGTGTCCCTTTTTTCTGGGGGGCGCTGCCCCCCTGAAAAATGCTGCTGCCCCCCTGACAACTGCTGCCCTAGGCAAATGCCTTGTTTGCCTTGTGGTAAATACACCCCTGCTTACTTTGTATATTAGGATATTTCATCATTAGGAGGAGGGCCCATCTCAGAGCAGTGGATGTTGTTTCCATTCCAGCAGCAAACAAGTTGCCCACCAGGGCTGTCAGATTTTCATCATGGTAATATAGGGTGGATTCTGGCTTCCCCTGCACAACAGAAATAGAAGATGTTGAGATATTTGGACAGACATTTTGCAGATTGTCAATCTCTCTATAGCATCCACTCAATTGACATATGTAATTTAAAGTGTCACTAAACCCACATCATAAAAAAACTATCAATAAATGCTGTATTACATGCTGTTCATACTGACTCAGTCACTATGAGATTCGCTCTCTGTATTCTGCAAAAAACCTGGTTGATCCTGATGCTTTCTACGTCTACCTTCTGTTCATGTCTCCAATTCAGCAGAGGATTTTGCAGCTGTGGAGGAATCTCTGCACATGCTCAGTTTTCAGTGAGTTTCTATGCTGAGCATTTTCTCCTTATCACTTCTGAGCAGTCCATGTGACTATAGAGTCACACATGTTGGTGTATATACATTGGTAGATGACAGCCCACCCCCCCCCCCTACTCCTCCATACTCACTAACTAGAAAAACACAATGGAGGTGGGATATTACAAGCAAATTAATGGAGGAATTACATCCCTCTTTTTCTAAAACACAGGCTGGAGGGGTGTGACATAGGCTCCACCTGTGAGTGGCAGAAATCCACCCACACCATGTTATTTCCACAAAATATTAAAGATTTGATTTCAAATATATACTATATATTTGTATGTCAATTTAAAATGTGTATTAATATTATTTATTTATTTTTACTCTGTATTCCATAGGCTGTTTTTAGTTTTTTATTTTAATTTTGAACACGTGACCAGCACAGAGGACTAGAAGCTCCTCCTGCCATTATTTCCCTACAGACAAGCTTGGAAAGAGCTGGGTCATGTGACGGCTGTATATTGATTAGGAAAAAAGGTACTTGGAGGTTGTTTTTTTTAATAATTATAGTGCCATCATCCACATACAGAAATAGAAGGGATAATGTAAATTAAACAGTGTGGGTTTAGTGTCACTTTAAGTGCACCTATTCCTAAACTATGTGCATTAACATATTTACATATTATTACCAATCTGTAAAAGAGTTTTAAAACACACCTTCATTGTCTTTTGTAGCTGTAGGCATTATGGAAAAATGAATATTCAAAATCCACAACAGAGGCTCTAAAATAGAGATTTTGTAGCCTGCCAGCCTTCTAATGCAGACAAACAGTAAGTGTTGTAATAAGCACTATGTGATGAGATCCACACGCAGGAATAACCTATGATTATTGCCAACCAGATTCCTATAGAATTCACCAAATGCACAAAATATAAAATGAGTACAAAACTGGAAAAGTTTCTGGCCGCCAGGATATTACTTCCCCCCTGTATACAGGAAACCCAGCATCCAAATACACCATACAAAAAATAGTCCCTTTTGACAGTCACATAGGGTGTTCATGCTTTAAGATCTCCAAT